CTTCCCATGCTTTCCCATATTTTCCTGGGGGTCGACGATTACTTGTGGCTGTGTTTCCCCCCTCAAATGCCAGGATGCACGACAGCGCCATGCAAGCCTCGGGCCACATCGCATCGCATTGGAACCGAATCGGCTCGGGCTGGCCAGAAGCGATGTCACAGAGGATCGCTCAGACCGACGTGGGCCCTGTAGCCAAAGACTTCCGACGTTGTGTTTTGATTTCACTCCATGCCGATGCGCCACCTAGGCTCGGCATTTGCAGGCAGGCAGGCAGCGCGGCCCCGAAAGGTGTGGATCCCTTCTGGAGGACCGGCTCTTCATGCTCTTAATCAAGAGTCGTTTCTTGACGGTCCATCTTACAGTCAACCCGCACAGTCTTCCCAAGGGCGCCCTTGCATCCTTGCCTCCTCGCCCCGTCCTTGGCCACGTTCGTTGGCCGCGCCCCGCTCGAAAAGCTTCGAAATGGGCGTCCGAGGCCCTTGCATCCTCACCGTGAAGTCGGGCCTGTCTCTCTCTACAGGTGGAATATGCGAAAATAGTCAAAAAATAGTCTGGGGACGACTTTTTGACAATTTTCGAATACCTATGTTTTGTGTACTTTGGGGGTAGCTTCTACCCTTCGTCCAAAATCCGCCTGCAGGGGGACACGCCCGACCTAAAAGTACCGCGCATCCTTATCATGAAGGGGCCCTGGGACACACAAATAACGGGATTCCCCGTATCTTCCTATATTTCCTGTGTTTTCGTCTTCCCCCCACTTCCCATATTTTCCCATATTTTCGGGGAATCGACGATTCATTGTGTCTGTGTGTTTCTTTTCCTCCTGATTACGTAATGGCAGGGCCCTCCACTCTGCCCTCCGCGCCCCTGCGGGCGACCTCTGCGCCTCTGCGGGGGCCACCCGCAGGGGGTGGCCCCCGCAGATGGGTGTTTTCCCCTCCTGATGTTACACGGTTTGGACTGTATATCCACGACGCGAGTAGGCCTGGCTTCCGGGCGTGATCTCGAGCCTCCGGCGGCCGCTCGGGACGACCAGGGCACCCCCGGGAACGCACTCGCCGAGGCACCAGCCGCTGGAGGCCTGCCGAAGCGAGCGACAGCCTCCTCCTCCTCCTCCTCCCTCCTCCGCCTCCTCTCCTCCTCCTCCTCCTCCTCCTCCTCCTCCTCCTCCTCTCCTCCTCCTCCTCCTCTTCCTCTTCCTCCTCCTCCTCCTCCGCCTCCTCCTCCTTCTCCCATCCTCCCTTCACTCTTTCCTCCTCCTCCTCATCCTCCTCCGCCCCTCCTCCTCCTCCTCCTCCTCTCCTCCTTCTCTCCTCCTCCCTCCTTCCTCCTCCTCCCCCTCCTCTCCTCCTCATCCTCCTCCTCCCTACTCCTCCTCCTCCCCTCCTCCTCCTCCTCCTCCTCCCCTCCTCTCCTCCTCCTCCTCCTCCTCCCTTCCCCCCCCCATCCTCCTCCACCCCTCTCCTCCTCCTCCTCCTGGACTCCTCCTCCGCCGCCTCCTCCTCCTCCTCCTCCTCCTCCTCCTCCTCCTCCTCCTCATCCTCCTCCTCCTCCCCTCCTCCTCCTCCTCCTCCTCCTCCTCCTTCCTCCCTCCTCTCCTTCCTCCCCTCCTCCTCCCTCTCCCCCTCCTCCTCCTCCTCCCCACTCCTCTCCTCCTCTCTCCTCCTCCTCTCCTCCTCCCCCTCTCCTCCCCTCCTCCTTCTCCCCTCTCCTCTCCTCCTCTCCTCCTCCTCCTCCTCCTCCTCCTCCTCCTCCCCCTACTTTCCTCCTCCTCCTCCTCCTTCCTCCTCCCCTCCTCCTCCTCCTCCTCCTCCTCCTCCGCCTCTCTCCTCCTCATCCTCCTCCTCCTCCTCCTCCTCCTTCCTCCTCCTCCCTCCTACCTCCTCCTCCTCTCCTCTCCTACTCCTCCTCCTTCCTCCCCTCCTCTCCTCCTTCCTCCTCCTCTCTTCCTCCCTCTCCTCCTCCTCCTCCTCCCTCCTTTCCTACACCTCTCCCCTCCTCATCATTCCTCATCCTCCTCCTCCTCCTCCTCCTCCCCTCCTCCTCCCCCTCCTCCTCCCCTCCTCCTCCTCCTCCCCTCCTCCTCCTCCCCTCCTCGTCCTCCTCCTCCTCCTCCTCCTCCTCCTCCTCCTCCTCCTCCTCCTCCTCCTCCCCCTCCTCCTCCTCCTGCGGAGAGGCCTCCCGCCGTGCTCCTCGCCCGCCTGGCCTGCCCGTGCAGCCCGCCCGTCATGAAGTCCCGCCCGGGGCCCGCCGCCGTCGGCGGGGCGCACGCCTCCGGCGGCACCGCCGCCAGCCCTCCGAGGGCCTCCGCGCCGTCCCCGTACTGGCAGACGCGCAGCCCGGCGCCCGCGAGGGAGACGGCGCCGCCGAGCTCGCGCACCGCGGAGGCGTTGGGCCTGTGCCCCGCCTCCAGTCGGCGGCGAGGAGGAGGAGGAGGAGGAGGAGGAGGAGGAGGAGGAGGAGGAGGACTCTTCGCCCGAGCCTTCGCCACGACCAGCATGGGGCCCTGCCCCCCCGCGCGCAGCGCGGGGTCGGCCGCACACGCGGCCAGCAGGGCGACGAGCGCGCGGCCGAAGCCGCCGCTCCTGGGCAGGCAACCGCCCTCGTTCGTGGCGTTGGCGTCCAAATACCTCGAGAGCCCGTTCGCGTAGCCCTCCGTCGTCGAGCCCATGGCCGGGTGCTGCCAGAAGTGCTCCCGGCCCAGAGTGCCCCCAGGAGTTCCAGGGGGGGCCCCCACGGCCTCCGGGGCGCCCCTCACGAGGCCCAGAGGGCCCCATGGGGCTCCCAAGTCGAGCGAGAAGAAAAGCTGGGAGCACCTTGGGCCAGGGGCACCTATGGCAACCCCCGACATGAGGGCGTGGGCCGCGATGGCGCACACCTGCCGCCGGGAGTACGCGACCCAGTGCCCGGGAGGCAGCTGGTCCTCGAGGTACTTCTGGCCCGGCTCTGGATCGGGCCAGGGCACGCTGACCTGTCGGACTCCGGCGGAGGCCCCAGGGCCCCCCACCAGCTCGGAGGTCACCCAGTCGACCAGAGCACGCTCGGTGATCTTCCCGGGCAGGCCCTCCTTGAACTCGACCTGCTTCCAGCCACTGGCCCCGTACGCACCGTGTATCGCCTCCTCCAGGGTGCGGTTGGGCCTCGTCCACCGGAATGTCTTCACCGCCACGCTCGTGTCGAAGCCGAGCTCGCCCGGGCCCGCCTCTGGGGAAATCACAAGAAACCGATAACACTACTCCCTGAAACTCTCTCGGGGTGCGTTCTAACCAGAATCTCGAGGCGAATCCAGCAATGGCGACGAGGGCCTACCAGGAGGCCAAGAAAAAGCGAAAAAAACAGGAAAAGGGTAGCAGTATCAGCCCTGAGATCCGACGCTGAGGGGGGAAAAAATCATCACGACAAAAATCACTGGATCTCAAGTCGGGAGCGGCCAAGAGGGGGGTGTCCGAGAGGGGGGGGTGCAAATCATGACGGGCGGCACGTGCGCGGCCCAGCGGGGGGGCCTGGGACGTAATGAAACAAGAAGAGGCGCCATGAAATCTGAGGAAAAATTATGGCCCGCGCCATGATATCCACCCCCCCCTAGTCCTCCCCCACTCTTTTCCCCCCCCGATCTAGACACCCTGCGGCATGCTCCGAGCCCGATCGGGCCGTGATGGCCCTGTGGGGCCCGAAGCTGGGCAGAAAAGCGCCCGGCGGGAGGAGGAGGAGGAGGAGGAGGAGGAGGAGGAGGAGGAGGAGGAGGAGGAGGAGGAGGAGGAGGAGGAGGAGGGAGGAAGGAGAGGAGGAGGAGGAGGAGGAGGAGGAGGGAAGGAGAGGAGGAGGAGGAGGAGGAGGAGGAGGAGGAGGAGGAGCAGGAGGAGGAGGAGGAGGAGCAGGAGGCAACGCCCGGACCTCCGGGCAGGGCAGCCGCAGCGGCAAGCTGCGAGGCTGCTTACCGGAGTGCCCGTCGGCACCACAGCATGCCTGTGAGCACCGCGCCATGCCCGTGGGGGAACTGGGACACACAAATAAATACACACAAATAAAAAGATTCCCCATATTTTCCTATATGTTCAAGGTTTTTGTCTTCCCCACCACTTCCCATATTTTCCCATATTTTCTGGGGAGTCGACGATTAATTGTGCCTGTGTGTGTTTCTTTCCCTCCTGAGCCATGCCCGTGGGGGAACCAGCACCCCGCCTGCCCGTGCACACTCGGTGCCGTGACGGGGAAGGGGGGAGGGGGGGGGAGGGCGACCCCTTCGGTGGCAACTCATGGTAGCCTCCCAAACCATCTTGTCGGCTGTTGCGAATCGACGCTATAGTCGACGCTAACTCGACGCTAACCGACGCTCACCGACGCTCACCGACGCGAGATCGGCGCTATCTCATCGAGTCCCAGACGCTAATCGACGCTAGTCGACGCTGAAGACGGAATCCCACCAGCCCTCTGGGCGTCGGTGGTTTAGAGCGTTTCCTCTTCCACCCCTCCTTCTTCCCCTTCGGGGAGGGGTTTACCCCTCCCCCTACCCCCTCCCCACTGACCTGGACAGGGGGTTCCGCGGCGCGTTGGAGCGCCCAAGATGGCCCAAGACGGCTCCAAGAGGGCCTCAGGGAGCCCAAGATACCCTCCAAGATGGCTCAAGATAGCGCAAGATGCCTCAAGATGGTCCCCATGATGTTCCAAGACGTTCCAAGAACTCTCCAAGACGGTTCCAAGTGCCCACAAGAGCATCATTAGGATGCATCCAAGAGGCCAAAATGCTTCAAAACCCTAGGGAAAATCAATGTTTTTGGTATTATCACTTTTTCGCTTGCGATGCACGTCCGAGGCGTCAAGATGGCTCCAAGATGGCTCAAGATAGCTCCAAGAAGGGCCCAAGAAAGCCCCACGACGGCGCCAAGAGCGCCGAAGGGCGCTGCAAGAGCGGTCCCAGAGCGGTACAGGAGACGATTTTTGGAGTTCCTGGGGGGGGGCTCTAATTAATGAACCCTACTTCCTTGACCGATGTCCTCCAAGATTGCCCCAAGAGCGCCCCAGCAGGGCCTTCAAGGGCGCCCAGACGGGTCCAAGAGGAGCCCAAGCCTCCCAAAATAGCTTCCCAAGAAGTCCCACCAGCCCTCTGGGCGTCGGTGGTTTAGAGCGTTTCCTCTTCCACCCCTCCTTCTTCCCCTTCGGGGAGGGGTTTACCCCTCCCCCTACCCCCTCCCCACTGACCTGGACAGGGGGGGCCGCGGGTAGTTAGAGCGTCCAAGAACGACCCCTGGGAGGGCTAAAATTCGACACCCCTCACGAGGATCGTGCCCCCCAGGGGAGCGACGCTAAAAAATGCTTCCCCCTTCTGCGATCGATGTCCTCCAAGAGGGCCTCAAGAGACGTCTCGGACTCTCCTCTTGCGCCCTGCGCGCGGGCGGGCGGGCGGAGCGCCGCCCGCCCGCGAGGCCCAAGAGCCCACCAAAACGTTCGAAGATACCTCCAAGACGCCACCAGGGAAGAGGAAGAGGCGGAGGAGGAGGAGGAGGAGGAGGAGGAGGAGGAGGAGGAGGAGGAGGAGGAGGAGGAAGGGAGGAGGAGGAGAAGACGGAGGAGAAGGAGGAAGAGGGGGAGGAGAACAGCTGCCGATCATCGGCGCTCTTCGTTCGAGTGCCTGGTGTAGGATGGGCTGGTGGGGATACGCGAAGCGTCAAGAATTCAAAGGCTACGCCAGGCTCCTACGAGTTGCCACCGAAGACCCCCGTCACGGACGTCACGGCTTCACCGAACACAAGACCCTGAGGTCTGACGCAGCGCAAAAATTGCAACGCCGCAAAAAAAACAGGGGAAAAAATACAACAACAACAAAAAACACGCCCAGAGCCCAAGACCCCCTCTTTCTGCGTCATCTTTCGAGCCGGATCGATCTGCCAGGGCCCGAAAAAAAGAGGGCGAAAACGACCAGGTCGAAAACACTGAGACGCCAGGATCCCATGAGTATCGTTGATCCGATCCCCATCCCCAGCGGCGTGGCCTAGGCCCCACTGGCCGATCTACCCCCCCAGTTGGATGGGGACGTGGGCCGCTCCCTTCGGGCTTCGAGGACTGCATCCCCAGCTGGGGTGGTAACTTGGTGGGGGCCTCGAAGGGGATGGGGATGGGCATGGGGATCGGTCAAACGTTAAGTCGGGCCTGTGCCTCTACAGGGGGAAGATTCAAAAGCAGTCAAAAAAACAGTCTGGGGACTCTTTCGGGACTATTTGTTCTAGCATTCTGGGGGGCATGTCTGGGGCACTTTTCCTTTTTCTGCCACGATCCCCCCCTGCAGGGGGACGGGCCCGACGTAAGCCAAACGACACCGAAGGGGCGCGCGAGAGCCGCCCCCCCCCTCCCCCGCGCCGACGCCTCGTGCAGCCCGACCCGCCAAGGGCCCCGCGCGGCCCCGCCCCGCCCGGCGGCCGCGCCGCCCCGGCGGCGCCCCTGCGCCGCGGCGGCGACGGCCACCGCCGCGGCGCAGGCGGCGACGCACGCGCCCAGCGGGCGCAGGCCGGGGCCCCGAGGCCCGGGGGCCTCAAGCCCGCAGACCCAGACCCCTCCTCGCATCCCCAGATTTCTCCGTAGTTTCTGGGTTTCTGTCTTCCCCCCCAGTTCCCATATTTTCCTATATTTTCTGGGTCGGAGGGTACCAACTATACACCAACACCGATCCTGGCCAGTATCACCCTGGGCCCAGGATCGGTGTATACGCCCTCCTGCCTGGGGCAGGAGGGCATATACACCGATCCTGGGCGCAGGATTGGCCTGGCCAAGATCGGTGTAGGTGTATAGTTGGTGCCCTCCGATCTGGGGAGTCGACGATTAATTGTCTCTGTGTTTCTTTCCCTCCTGAAAAAGATCCCGACGGGGGGCCTCGTCGCCACCTTCGGCCTCCGGGGGCCCTCGCCGGGCCTCGGGCGCGCCAGAAGAGGACGCGGGACGAGAGAGCGGCCCCGGGGGTCGAGACTGAAGGGGCCCTGGGGTGCACAAAGAAAGGCACACAAACAACAGGATCCCCCGTAGTTTCCTGTGTTTTCTGGGTGTCTGTCTTCCCCCCCACTTCCCATATTTTCCCATGTTTTCTGGGGAATCGAGGATTCAGTGCGTCTGTGTGTTCGTTCCCCTCCTGAGACACCTCTGGGGGTCGACGTCACGAGAAAATCATGACGTCGAGGGTCTGGGACGATGGCCCCAGCGGAGGGACAAAAAGCAGGACGGGAGGTGTGTTTCGCTGGTCGCGGCCCCTGGAGGCTCTCGGCCCAGTCCTACGATCCCGGGACCGGAAAAGAAGAACAACAACAACAACAACAACAACAACAACAACAACAACAACAACAACAACAACAACAACAACAACAACAACAACAACAACAACAACAACAACAATTACTAGCACGTGGGGACACTCCGTTCTCACCAGTGCCAGGGTTTTCATAGGAGGCGGGCAATACCCCCACTTTGTGGGGGGGCCGGTTCAAGCTCTACCAAATTTCCAAACGACTCTTCGCC